ATGCGCTGCGCCAGGCCACAGGCGATGGAGGTCTTGCCCACCCCCGCCTCGCCCACGTAGACCGGGTTGTTCTTGGACCTGAACAATGGGGATGGGGGGGGATGGGGGGGGCGATTGGGGGGGCAATGGGGGGGAATTCGCGGGATGGGGGGATGGGGGGATGGGGCTGGGGGGATGGGGGGGGGTTGGGGGGATGGCGGGGATGGTGGGGGATGGGGGGGATGGGGGGGGATGGGGGGGATGGGGGGGATGGGGGGGGGATGGGGGGGATGGGGGGGATGGGGGGGATGGGGGGGATGGGGAGGGGATGGGGGGGGGATGGCGGGGGGGGGGGGGTCCACGCACTGAAACACCACGACTAATCCACCATGAACAAAACCCTCCAACCAGAAAAAAGACACCTCCAAACAGCTCGAGCTGGATATGGGTCAAAATCAAACCACCAGGAGATGGACCGCAGGTGAAAGAGTCCTGGTTTCCATTTACCAAAGCAAGCCATTTTGGGGTTTCCCTATTTTTGACCCACACCCAAATGGCAAGGCAATGAATCACCACTCGGGCTAATCAACCATTCAGAAAAAATGACATCTTGTTCTACCATTCCCAATCAGAAATAAGGGGACCCAACCCCCGTATCGGTGGAACTTGAGTTCGTTTTACCCCCATGTGCCTTCAAAGCTGCAAACAAGGCGGTGAATGAACATCCATGTCTTCGTTGAGTGCGAGATGGGCGAACTAGCACTCAATTTGATCTACTTATTACTATGCATACGAGGCACAGTCCTCCCTGTGAACATAAACAAATGCGTGGGTCCCCTAGTGTTCGTTGGAACCTCTGTGCGTCTCCGCATGTTCTCGCGATTGCTGTACCTCAACAATGGGTCCGTAAACAATTTGCTGAATTGTGTTAATTGTGTTACTGAATTGTGCCAATGCTGACCATCGCTCCTCCTTTATTTGGAATGTAGAGGGCGCTGTAGTTGAGCTTTGTCTCCTTTTTTTGTCGGTCTTCATGTTGTTTATGTTAGTCTTCCTTTTTGCCATCTTAGTCGTCTGCATCGTAGTCCCACTATCCTCTGCACCAGGTTGGTCAGTGTCAAAAACAGCCAACCATATTTGAGGAACTACAAACAAATTTGACCCTGAACATGGCAAGAATGGCAAGAATTATGATAAGGAAATTGAAGATGACATAGACTTCAGCAGCAGAGGAAGAGGAAGAGGAAGAGGAAGAGGAAGAGGAAGAGGAAGAGGAAGAGGGAGAGGGAGAGGGAGAGGGAGAGGGAGAGGGAGAGGGAGGGGGAGAGGGAGAGGGAGAGGGAGAGGAAGACAAAGAGGAACAGGAAAAAGGAACAGGGCAGAGGAGGACGAGGAGGGGCAGCAGCAGGAGGAGGAGGAGGAGGAGGAGGAGGAAGAGGAAGAGGAGGAGGAGAGGAGGCGGCGTCTGCTGCTGCAGCTTCTGATGATGCTAGCTGGCGATGAAACATGACAACCCTGGCCATGTGCCAGACGCAGTCGACTTCTGGCCCAGCCTCCTGCCCAGAATGCGGATGGTACGCTCCAGCTGCACGTCGCGGCCTCAGTGCTCATGGCTCAAACGCTGGAAGTTGGGGAAGGGCAATAGTTGGGAGGGGGTGCTCGAAATCAGAAGCTGCACCTGTCAAAAGGCTGCAAAAGGCAGCAAGGTCCAACAGGGCCATGTTGTTGATAACCCCCAGTTGTATTGAGTGGCATGCTATAAGAATTCGATGACCGTCTCTCAGCTGGCATGCCACAAAAGTAGCAGCAAAGGGCCAGTCAGTCCTGTCCAAACAAACACCTTGCGCTGGAGAAACTGGGACAAGGAGGTCGGATGTGTGCGCCACGGCCGCCATCCCAGGATCTCTGGCAAGCGACGATCCCAGGATCTCTGGCAAGCGGCAAGCGATCCTTGTGTCCGGGCACGGGATGGAGCCATAGGTGTCCTTGGGGAAATAGATATCCGATATCCCTGGCAGATGAGAAAAAACCACCAGGTAAACCAGGAATCGCCGTCGATTTTCCTAGCAAAACAACCAAAAAGGAGACCCATGGATGGAGCCGCATCACTCAGCCCAACTTCTCCACAGCTCTGCGAAACCTCGAGCCGCAAGCCGGAAGCCGGATCGATCCCAATGCATGGGGCTAACCCCATGTGGCTTTGCACATCGCGGAAAGGGCGGGGGGTCCCTTTTACCGCCTGCACAAAAGGCCAAAAGGCCTCGGTTTCCCTTTGACACCCGAAAGGGGGTGACATACCCATCCACCCAGGCCATTTTTGCCGCGAATGAAAATTCCCAGCGAACTTTGTCCGGGGTGCCCGGCCCACCAGCGGGTCCAGGCTTCCCTCTTCCGCGGCACTGGTCAGGTCCTTAGGGAGACGAGGCGGGTGGGCTTTCCGTACCATGGGATGTGTTTGTTTTCGATGGTAGTGCTACCTTTTTGGGGCTGATGTTAAATGGAACCAAAAGGAAACCCACAATTTCGGGGGTCTCCCTGCTTGGACACACACCCGTATGGGATCCCCACCGATTTGCCGGTGTCCTTTGAATCTTCCCCTCCACCCTGTTAAAAAAACGGACAGTTGAGCACACGCACAGACACATGTGTCGATAGCTGGGGATCGCTTGGTGGAGAACCAACAGCACAAAGACAGCTGAACTTTTTCCAATCAGGAAGCAGAACCTCTGGTTGCAGGACCAGCGAGGTCCCTGTGCTTTGCTCCACCGAGTCCGGCGATCGAGAGTAGAACTCGCTATGGAACAACCTTGTCCAGTCAAACTGAATCCAGCTGCTGCAGATGGCCTTGATCCTTAATCCATCTGATGAAATTGTGAAATGAGGATTTTGCGCAATGGTCCAATGCTGCATCTTGAACAAGCTCGATCTGCAACAGGAATCATGAGCAGCGCGGTGGGCGGCTGCGGAGTGATCGTCCTTAAGCTGAGAGAGTCACAAGAGAAGCAAGAAAAACGCCATGGACACATCGCCTGAGCTCTATGCTCACTTAGTTGTTCAAGTCGTGAGCAACATCTACCAAACACGTTTAAGAACAGCTACAAAAGGCCGTAGATGGGCAACAAGAAAGCGCACTGCAACACAAACGACACCTGCGGGCCGGTGGCTATGAGCACCAAGCCCAACTTCAAATTCCATTGAACAAATGCCAACTCTTGGGATGTGCCATTTGCTTGACAGGGGACCAGCTCGAACAAGCGAAACCAAGCCGCTCAGAGCTGCCTCAGCTTTTGCCCCCGACCCAAAAACGCTGTTTGAGCCTGGGCCATACAAAAGTGAACCTGGAAAATGGAGGGCACTAGTGCAAAAAGAGTGGAGATCACATACTAAACCAAAAACAAACACAAATATCACTCACAAAAAAAAAATACCTGAACCCTTTTTGGACATGTCCAAAAGCGATGTCCCGGAAAACAAAATGCAAAAGCCGCCGGGCTCGCTCAGCCTTCAGCCCTTCGAACCCCTCCGCCCCCCGCGAAGCGCCTCCGCGTACTTCATGGTCTCTGTGAGTTTCATCTCGCCCGAAGCCTCGCAGCCGGGAGTCGTGACGGAGGATGCGAATGGCCCCATTTTTTGTCTGGGATTTACCAAGAATGGCCAGTAATCAACCATCCAACGGGCGGTTTTCCTTTAACGGGACCCAGGGAAAAATGGTGGGAAGAATGGGACCCGGGGAAACATGGGACCCAGGGATCCACCATAAACCATCCAACTGGTGGTTTCCTTTAAGGGGACCCCTGGGTTCATTCCCCTGATGACCCCCATAAACTTTTTAAGTGGTGGTGTCCTTTCGCGGGAACTTTCTGGACTCATTCCCTCTTACCACAGCCTGACGGAACTCCGAGCGGCTGCGCAAGGCTCCCAAGGCAAGATTGGAGACCGGCTCCGGAACGGACCCTCCCCGCCCCACCCAAAAAAGAAGGGGGTTGATCAACCATTCTCGTGGGCTTACGAGCTTCAAATGTGTCAGGTAACAGCTAGTTGTGTGTCTTGGATTGGTGGGTTCGATTTGGATTTGAACCCCTGGCTTTGGTACAACTGTGAAACCACTCCTTAACCACCAAACCACCAATCCTTCCTGGGGGAAGCTGACGGTGGGCTGATGCCATGTGTTCTCCCCCCACAAGCGGGGTTGACCTTTGTTAAGCTTACGCAAAAGAAAGGAATTTGGAGGGTGCCACATCACTGGATGGTCGGTTGGGCGCCACATGTTTGATTCTCATGGTTGGTTGGATCAACTTTCTTTGTGTGTATATGGTGGCTTGGAACTGAAATCTCGTCGGCTGTGAGACATCAAGTACACAGTGTACGACTCCCGAAGAAAAAAAAACCTCCCGTTGTCTCCCCTTTGCTTGAGAACAAACACAAGAGCAACCACACACTCTCTCTTCTGTCGTGTTCTTGGTTGGAACGGGGCCAAACTTAGAGGGCTAAGTCCCCCATGTCATTGACTCACACATGGGGGGTTGATCAAAAGGTCCGGTAAACATGGGGGCACCATTGGGAGACCTCCAAAAAAGGATTACTTTCACCGCATAGGAAAAGTTACCCACGGTCAATTTGGAGCCTCTAACGAAATGTTGATCAACTGAATTGCGGGGTGACGTCCTGGGAGTCTTAGAGGAACACCTAGGTGGTGCCTGGGACGACTCCAGGCGTAGATTCTCTCTTAGCGGGCACCCTTCCTCCCACGTTGGCACCTGACACAGAAATGGTCCCTTGAGGAAACTGATCTTCCATGTACCCTCCAGGTGCCATGTTAGGAAGGGCATACCTTAAACAGTTGACACCTAAAAACCTAAAAGCCCAAGGGGATAGCTGGGAACCACCAATTTCACCAACCCAAAACGTGTTGGATACCCCAAAAACAACGGACCGACGCAGGCTGTCCGTCCCCTTCGCGCCGCTGAAGAAACCTCGTTTCCTGCCTCCCCGGCTGCGGTCACCGACACAGTGCCCGACACCTGGGTGACCAGCAGCTTTAAAAAACCCAGAATCCGCGCACAGCCGGTGCTCCACCCCCCCTTTTTGTTGTGGCTTGTCAAGGGAAACCAAAAAAGCAACCGCCATTTGGGGGATCCCCGAAAAAATGACATAATCTATGATGGCCTGACTCAGCCGCGACCTGCCAGAAGACCCCTTGGAGGGTGGCAGGGCTTTGGGAGGGGTGGGGTCATCACTTTTTCAGTCTCTCCCCTCTCTTTCTTCTTTGTGTTGTTTGCAAATGTACGTCCCTAAATAACATCCCTACGTCGTTCAGACACAACGGGGGCCTGTCGCTCGCAAGAATTGAGAACGTGACCAGTTGAAAAGAGAACTGAGATTCTTATTTGAGTCGCAATCAAAGCCCGCATTTCCTTGTAAGGAATTAAAAAAAGGCGGCCGCACCCATGTATGGCTGGGATTGACCCCTACTACCCTCCAATTACCTGGGGTTCATTGTGACTCATTTGGCAACGTAGCTGGCAAATGTCCTTTTCATGAACCCAAATACTCAACTGGCTGATTGTACAGATCCATGTTTGAAATAGACCTTTTCTGTATCATCAATGTGTCACGTATCGTTCCTACTGCTAGGCTGCGACGCACCCCAATTCTTTTTCCCTTCTCATCATTCATAGTCTGCACTGCCCGTGCCTGTAACAACCCTCATCGCCTGAGGGATAATGCTTTGGATTTCCATGCATCTCCTGCATGGACTGTGCTTAGAGGGGGCCACCGGTCAACTCCGGTTGGGATGCCTCTAACATCCTTAAAAGTCCCCCCCCCCCTCGAAACAGCACAGTGCGCCTTTGCGCAAACCCCAGTCCCATCGGGACCTTCAAAGTTGTCGGCTACTGGACGCCAGGCCAGACAACTAGGGTGGGTTGGGTGGGGAAAACCAAAAAGGTGTCTGCCAATTTGGCTCAGTCTTGATCCAAAATGGCAGACCCATAACAATTGATGATACATGTTCACCCAATGCCTGCCAAGCTCTAAACATGGCATACATCAATGTGTCACGTATCGTTCCTACTGCTAGGCTGCGACGCACCCCAATTCTTTTTCCCTTCTCATCATTCATAGTCTGCACTGCCCGTGCCTGTAACAACCCTCATCGCCTGAGGGATAATGCTTTGGATTTCCATGCATCTCCTGCATGGACTGTGCTTAGAGGGGGCCACCGGTCAACTCCGGTTGGGATGCCTCTAACATCCTTAAAAGTTCCCCAATGCACTTCATCAACTCCCAAAGCACTACAGAAAGCTCGTCACCGCGAGCACGGCACGAAATGGCAGCTTCCACATGATGGGGAAACAGAAAGCAGTAGACATTGAAAAATCATTCTGGCGGGCCCATGGGTCCTGCCATCCTAATCGAGAAATCGAATCCGACCAGTTGGATTTGGAAGGGATCCACTCCCAATACATCCAAACTTTCAGCCCAAACAAAACTGTGTGTATCACGTGGGACATTCGTTCCAGATCGGGCTCCCTGGATCTACCACGGATTAAACACATCAGGGCTGCAGTGTTATCGATGTACCACACTCCCCGCCGATTACGGAATGTATCCGGTCGGCAGAGGAGGGCGTACAACACCATGGACAGCTCCAATTGAGCAATCTTCCGGTCCCCCGGAGTCCACACCTGGTAAAGCTCAAATGGGATGTCGGCTACAAAAGCTTCCCGTCGCTCGGCGAAGCCGTCGGCCCACACCATCAGGAAACCTCCCGTCCCCTGACGTGGGCTCTCAAGAGCCGCGTCCGAAGCTATCACGAATCTCTCACACGGCACTGGCAAAACCTGAAGCACTCGGCGTGGTTGGGTAGCAAAAACTGCTTCTAGCAACTCAAGGCTCGCCTTGATAGGCTCAGTCAGCTCAGATGATCTCTCAGCCTGCCGCGTCTTGATGGAGCCCAAGCCTCCGCATCCCACGCGGCCATAGACTCCCATCTCCAAGAAGTTAGCCAGGCCGTAGATCTTGGCCGCGAGGCCAGGTGCGAGTCTCCCCTCGTTCCTGACCTTCTGGATCATCCCGGACATCTTCTCGTGCAACCGCTCCCGAGCCCAGAACGACACCACGCCGTCGTGCAGTGCCTGAGATAGGTCATGGTCAAGCCCCAGAAAGAGTCCTTGGGCTGCCATAGGCTGCTTCTTGTCCTCGGAGAATGGCGTGCCTAGCAACCGGTTCAGCTCTTCCAGTGCCCACTGGCCGGAGCCACCGGCCGATCGCCAATCCGTGATGTGGGCGTCATCGAAGTAGAACGAAACCAGAAGGACCAGCAGTCGTCGGGCCAGCGCTTCCGCCAGCCTAGAGTACCGGTTGAAACTGGTCACGGCCAACGGCAGGCCAAAGAGCAGCCCTGCGTACCGCTGAAATGCAGGCGCCCCCCAGCCCTGATGCCAAAAACAAACGATACAGCCCCTGGCCTCCTCACTGCTCATAGGAGAGTGGCGATAGGCATCTGGCCAATCCTCCCCTCCGGATTCCCACGAGTCACCCTCGCGGGCCGAGCGAAGTTGGCTCTCATCCATGCGTTGCATCACCGCTGCAATGTGCTGGGCTGGTCGCAATGGTGAACAGAGGACTAATTTATTGGCGTCCGATGAACGGAGGGATTGACCCCCTGTATCCGTTGTCGATAACTCGCTGCTTGCCTGAGGACTGTGTGATGACACACCTAGGTATGAGTCGGAACTCCTGCCCTCTGAGCTCCCGCTGCGACATCGGGGCTGTGCAGAACCCACGATCAGCGTCCTTCTGCGACTGCTCCAGCAAGAAGGCATCATCCTTGCCCGGGCGCAAACTAGCTAGCACGAGCCGATTGTTCTCGCCTGCCCCATCCAGGACCTCCTCAAAGGTGATCCTCCGCGCGTCCTGCTGGGGGAACACGCCGTAGTGGGGGGCAAAGCCGACTGCTGGCAGGCCCACCACCAGACCATGGGAGTATGATACGTCGGGCCACGCCAGCAATATCACCAACAGGCCCAGCAATCCAATGTCCCTTTGTGCTGTCACGGCTTGGAGGGCTGGTACCTGGAATTGCCTCAACTGATCATCCACTCTCTTCCATCTCTGCTTCAGCTCCTTGACGGCCCCGATGGCGCCACGTCGCACCTGGCGCAGGTCCCCCCTGCGTGCCGCCATCACTGAAGCCACAAACTGCAAATCCTCATCCATCACTGCTTCTTGTTCCAGTGGGGTTGGCGTCATCTTCATAGCCAAGGCCGCAGCGAAGTGGTCGTCCGGATTGGGTACACCGGAGATCAGCGGGGGCAAGGCTGCGCTCAACGCACCCGCTTGCTGCCCCTCCGCTGTGCGCGACCGGATGCGGACCCTTGCCGGGGCCGTGGCAGGGCCCAGGGGACCATCCCAATCCAGATGCTGCCCGTGCCGCCACTCCGCATAGTCGATGAATGGAGACTGGTTGATGAGGTCCTCAATCATGGGAAAGCGGAAGCCCTTGAACCAGGGCTCAGGAAAGAGGCACAAGAAGCAGTTCACCACTGCCTCTTGCGTCCAACGCCTCCACGGCACCGCCCTGGCATCCACTCCTGGCAAGCCGCCCCATGCCAGCAGAACTCCTCGTCTCGGCACTCGTCGGTTCTTCCGTCGTGCTGGCTGTGCGGCCGACTGCTGGACACACTCCTCAAAAAACAAGCCGGCCAAAATGTCAGCCTCGCACACCTCCTCAAAGCTGCAATCACAGGCCAGCCTCTTGCCCATCAGCTCTGGCAATCGCTCATTCAGGCCCGACTGGTGGACACACTGCACGAAGCGTGGGATCCACTCGTCCCACGAGCAATCGTGTCCCGGCACCCACGGGCATCTCCAGTCGGACGTAGGGACTCGATGGCTGTGATGTCCTCGTCCAACGTAGACCACGTCCTCGGGTAGGGTACCATCTTCGTACAGCACCTCGAGGATCACCACTCGCCGAGGCACCGTGGCACCCGATGCCAGCGGGGGTGGCTTGAGCCCGAGGCTCACCGCCATCGGTGCCATGGCCCATTCGCGTAGAGCCCGTCCATCGAATTCCAACCAGTGCTCCCGGCGACCTACCGTCTCGATCGCTGGCATCCGCGGGACCGTCAGGCGTGCCTTGCCGACTCGGGCCGCCCACCACGAAGCCGCCACCGCGATGCTGAATGCCAGCGCTGCCGTGTACTCCGCCTCGGCCTTAGACGGGTACCACCTGCCATCGGAACTCTCCTGTGGTTCCCACTCTCGGGGGTGGTGGGTATGGTGGCACATCAAAGGCGGCCACTCCTCGATCTCCTGGACGTTGTGTCTGAGGCACTGGAGTTTGCTCCGGGCCCCCGCAAACACGCATGCGGAATATTGCGTGTCCTTCCACAGTCCGGATTCCATCATTGCCTGCTCCTGGGGGAGGTACCAGCGCAAGCTCCTCCATGGGTTCTCCCGCACGGAGGCCCCCCCTCCCTCGGCGTGCTTCTGGAGCTGTGTGAGCATCCAGCCGCATGCCGCGTTGTCTGTGTCCACCCGAGCCTGGTCCTTGACTGACAGCCCTGGTAACCCCAGGGGCTGGTCTGCTGACCGGAGAGGCTGGGGTGCTGGGCGTCCGTCATTGAACTTCCGCGGAATCTCCCTCGCCCGCGACTTGGTGGAGCAATCCATCGCGGCCGCAATGAAGTCGGTCTCCTCGAGCTGGCCTGCCAATGACTTTTGCCTCAGGGGGTTAGACAGGTCATGGGCGGGGTCAAGGAGCCAGTCCACGGAGACGGTGCGCCATCCACACCACAGGAAGGCTTTAGTCAACGGGAGGTTCGGACCACACATGAGGTCAGCCATCAAAGGTGGCTCGCCACCAGGCAGCGCTACCGCAGCGGACCCAGAGGATGCAGCCGCCACATCATCCTCCGGGCCCCATCAGGAGCCTTTCCCCTTCTTCCCGGCGCGACAGGTGGATGCTCCGTGGTTGCTGCCCCCACAGACGCGCTCCCCCCTTGGTCACAAGGCC